ACTGCCATGTTAATCTGTGGGATCAGGTGACAATTCTAGAAAAGAAGGCAAAGGGAAACCTGCTCTGCCGGATTGAGTAATGCATTCGAAATTAAACGCAGGAATCACTGTGTTTCTGGCTGCAAATTATTAATGATTGGGAATCAGGAAGTTTGGAAACAGACTTCAATAAAAGAGGGTATTTAATTCATAATTGGTTTTAAAAATATTGAGTGAACCTAATAGAGAAAAGGTTGAAGTTGTCAAGGATTTCACTTTATTTGGGTCCACACTCAACACCCATAGAAGCAGCAGTCAGGAAATCAAACCATGTATTGCACTGGGCAAATCTGCGATCTGAAGCGTTCAAGAGCAAAGATGTCACTTTGAGGACTGAGGTGCGCCTGACCCAAGCCACACTGTTTTCAGTTGCCTCATATATACATGAAAACTGGACAATGAACAAGGAAGACCGAAGAATTAATGCCTTTGACTTACGGTATTGGTGAAGAATATTGAATATACCATGGTCTGCCAGAAGAATAAACAAATCTGTCATGGAAGAAGTATAGCGCCTTAGAAGTGAGAATGGCCAGACTCCATTTCTTACACTTTGGTCATGTTGTCAGAAGGGACCATTCCCTGGAGAAGGATGTCATGCATGGTAAAGTGGAGGGTCAGAGAACAAGGGGAAGGCCCTCAATGAGATGGACTGACACAGTGGCTGCAATGATGGGCCCAAGCGCAGCAAGCATCGTGGGGCTGGCGCAGGGCCGGGCAGCACTTTGTTCATTGTGCACAGGGTCACCGTGAGTCGGAACCTACTCAGCAGCACATGAGAACAGCAACCAGTGTCCAAAAGAAGGCGCTTCTTTACACCACGGAGAGCTTGTCTGCCCCACAGAGACTCTGATGTTTGCACCGGGATGTTTCTGCTAAAAATGTTTGTAATTCAGGGAGACCTAGGAACATAATTTGCTTTGTCATCAGAACAGGCAGAGCCACACTCTGCTTACACTGTCTTTAAGTATTTTATTTTAAGTGTCACATGATAGACATGCTTGTTTTATCGCGAAAGTCCACGCAGTAGGGGCTAGGAAGTCAAGCACTCATCCGTGTCATGTCATCCACCGTCACTCACCGGCTTCCATCCACAACCACTGGTGTCAGCTACGTGTCATCAGTCAGTGAAGGTCTCTCCCCCGCCTCCCCGTAGAGATTTGCTTTTGTTCTTTTGTGATTTCAGTGGTAGTTTACAGAGTAAGTTCATTTTTCATTTGACAGTTCATACACGTTGATTACAGTCCCCACAATGTAACAGCACTCTTTCCACTTCCTCCGTGTTTCCTGTTTCTCTTCATCTTTCTTTCCCATCCCTTCCTGCCTTCTCCCTGGGAAAATGCTGCCCTTTTGATCTCGTGTGGTTGTGAAGTAAGTGACTCCATTTTGTAACTCTATTTTTGTAATGTCCAGCTATGACTGGCAATGTCTTGCAGAAACTCCATTTTCTGTGGCTGAAGTAACCATCTCATCCTGCCCCCACTCCCAGTGAGATAGGGAGGGCCCCTTTTGTCTTTTTTTTTCTCTTCCCTCCTAGACACATAAAGCAGCTAAATCACCCTTCAATGAACACCTGTGCTAGAATATGTACTTTGGGGTAATTATCAGAACTAACTCCCATAACCCCTCGATGGACACCTGTGCTAGAGCACGTACTCTAAGGTGGTTATCAAACCAGCGCCCCTCTCCCCCGATGAGAGCCTGTGCCAAAGCACGTGCTCTAAGACCTTGAACCCGCAGCTTCTGCTTCTGCATTATCACCCGCTTTCCTGCTTTAAATCATTAGACCCAGCAGAGAGTGCTGTGGGCGTAACAGCTGGTGTCAGAATTGGTACAAAGGTTTGAGAGGCAGTGATTCTCCATCCCCCTCGTGAAGTCAGAGGAGTCAGACACCTTGGCCACCATGCCATTTTTATAGAGGTCCTTGCCAAACTTCATATGGAGTCGCATGGGAGCTCTGGTAGCATAGTGGCTAAGGCACTTGACTGCTAACCAGAAGACTGGCAGTTCAAACCCACCAGCCACTCCTTGGAAGTAAGATGGGGCAATCTACTTCCATAGTGATACTGCCTCGGAAACCCAAGGAGGGGTCGCTACAAGTCGGGTCCAACTCAGTGGCACATAACAACAACAATTATTTGTGCAGTGGCCACATAGAACTCACAAACCATACCCATGATTACAGGGTTTATAGGGAAGTAACAGGATACACCTCAGGATCGGTTATCAACTCAGAAGTAACAGTTGCAACTCTGGATACAGTTGTGAATTAGGACAGCTGCTTTTGCCTTCTGCAGCAGGGCTCTCTCGGGCAAGGATTCCAAGTCTTAGCTCCATGGGCCATCAGCCCCTCCAGGTGCCCAGAGGTGCCCCACTCCCAGGCAAGTCTCCTGCCTAACAGTGCTGAGCTTTCTCACCCCGTGGGCCGGGAAGCCCACTGTGCCGTCTCCTGCCAGCCCCTGGTTCTGCTGCTTCTCTTGTCATCGTTTCTGTCCCTGCTTCTCACTGTTGTCCCTCACAGTCTTCCCTGCACCGGCCCTCTCTCTTTCTCCTGGATTAGAGGTTCCCAGTGCAGGGACCCCTGCTCCAAAGGACGTGCTCCGCAGCTGTCTCTTCTCCCTGGTGGTACTGAGTTCCTCCATCCACCTCTCCAGTGGCTCATTTTAAGCCTAGTGGGTTCGCAAGACTATACAGAACATAATCCCCTCAGTAGGATTCCTCATACCTTATTTGCACGGTCCCATTCCCACAAGGGTGCTGTGAACCTTATTTGCATTATTAGCAAGATGTCCAGTTCCTTTTGTGGGCCTCAAGCACCTCATGACTCCCACCCAGTCATTTGGTGGGAGTTACAAAGACTGGCAAAAAGGACCATCTAAGTAATTCACTGCATCATAACCTCTGTTTTGTTTCTTTTTCCAAAAATGGATACAGTTGTATTCATACCCTTAGTCCCCTGGTGGCATAATACCTAAGGCACTTGACTGCTAACCAGAAGGCTGCCGTTTCAAACCCACCAGCCACTCCTCGGAAGGCAGATTGAGCAATCTACTTCCATAGTGATACCACCTCGGAAACCCAAGAAGGGGTTGCTGTGAGTCGGATTTGACTTGATGGCAGTGAGTTTTCTCCTCACTTACCTACTGTCTCATTATCCAACATCTGCATTTAACAATAGTATGAAATCTAACTGTTTTACGTTAGCAATGTGCGTATGGCGGTAACAAATGCTGAGGTATAAGACGAGTCTTACTGGCTGTGATGGTTAAGGTTATGCGTTACCTTGGCTGGGCCGATTCTCAGTGGTGTGGCAGTACTTTGGCAGTATGTAACGATGTGGTTATCCTCCATTTTGTGATCTAAGATAGTTATCCTCTGTTTTCACAAAAGGCCAATTTTCACATAACGACCTGATCTCTGGATCTTAACCATGTTGATAAGTGAGAGGTGGGTGTACTTTTGCATACAGGTAGTCTCTGACTTAGACTTCAACTTAGGACGTATTTGAGTTATGACCCACACTTAAATTGTCTGTTTTTTTCATCTTTTGTACATTTTATCCTTAGTAATGTTTATATCGGAAGGAAGGTTGGACAATCTACTTCCGTAGTGATACTGCCTCGGAAACCCAAGGAGTCACTATGAGTTGGCTCCAACTCGATGGCACATAACAGCAACAACGTTTATATATGTACTAAAATATATTTCTAAGTTTACATGTGAACAAAGATTGCATTAATAAAGATAATGCTCATAAAAGACAATAAAAACTTTTTGAAAATGAGGTATTTGGCTTATGTCAGAGCCTGCTTACGATGGAGTTGTCAGAACAGAACCCCTACGTCCAAGAATACCTATATATTTAATGTAGAGAAAGTTTTTGTTGTTTTTCATTTTTGCTATTTTTTTTTTTTTTACTAACCTAATACAGAATAGTGATGGCAGACTAAGTGTGACTTACACATTTTCACTGTACCAGAAACCAGCTTTGTGTATATGTATGCTTGTTTATAAATTGGTTTTATAATTTAAAGGAGCCCTCCTGGCACAGATAGTTAAGTGCTCGGTTGCTAACTGAAAGGTTGGTGGTTTAAAGGCACCCAGCAGCTCCATGGAACAGAGACCTAGTGCGTGCTGATGTAACGCTGCAGCCGAGAAAACCCTGTGGGGCAGTTCTGCTGTCACATGGGGTCAGTATGAGTCGAAAATGACTCAGTGGCACCTCCCAACAGTAACGGTTTTTGTCTTCACTATACTACCACAGTGAGTTGGTAGCAGGAAGAATAGTATAGCAAATTATGTGTGTGCATATTTTTCCAGTTTGATATTGTTGGCCTTGAACCTGTTTTAAGTTTAGTCAATTTGGAAATAGCACCATACTTTGCATGCTGTATCTTTTACTGAAGTGTTTGACTTTTTTGGTTTGATTCTAAAACCTGACCACCTGGCTGTGCCATTTATTAACTAGCTGTTTGAGTGTATTACAGTGTCTGTAACACAGTTGTCTCCTGTGTAAATTGGGAACAGATCTTTCCCTATTGGGCTACTATGTCATTACATGATTTAATATGTGTTCAAAAAATTTTAGTCATCACAGTCTTTTGATTCTGACCTTTCTTTAAAGTCACAGTAGACTTTGTCATCCCTGAAGACACCACTCCTGCTCTAACTCATTTGAAAAACTCAATGTCACTGGCTGTGTAGGACATACATCTGACACATCTATATGGATAACGGTGTTGAATGTTTTTATTTGTATATTTTTTAGTACCCACAAAAATATGAAATACACAGTGATTTGATGGATTTCATATCCTTTATTGGAAAAATATAATAGAACGAAATGAGGGCATATAACTTGCTCAGAATTTTCTTAGGTGGAACTGTCCAAATGCTCAGTCAAATTGATCCTTATACCTCTGCCCTTCTGTGTGGCAGTAACAGCTCTCCTGTGTCCACTCATGTCTCTTTCATTGCAGGGACTGCTGACATTCAGCGATGTAGCCATAGAGTTCTCTCAGGAGGAGTGGGACTGTCTGAACCCTGCTCAGAGGACTCTGTACAAGGACGTGATGTTGGAGAACTACAGGAACCTGGTCAGCCTCGGTGAGCACAACTTCCCTCTATCAGCGGGTATCTACTCAGGTATATGCATTTTCCTTTGGGGATGGGGTCTCTGCCTTGCTTTATTACCCCATGCTCCTTGTATCACATCTCTGTTTTTAAAGCCGAGATTGAAGTCAGTTCAGAAATGAACAGCTTCATAATGTGGCATCTGAACTTCAGTCTTCCCCTTTGAGGCGGCAAACCAGAGCAGGAGGAATTGGTCTTAGGGAGACATTGTCTGATGTTATACCCTCGTGCCTGTGAGCCTGTTGGCCAAACTATTCTTCATGCCACATTGTTCATCCCACATGTGTGCCATTGTTCCCTCTCTTCAGCAAATGTGGTTTGGGGTATGTGTTGCTGAAGCAAGCACAGCCAGTATCATTCTGACGCATTGTATTGCAGACACTTGTAAAGTCAAACAATGCCTACATTTTTTAATCTCTACCCAGTTCATTGTATTTAATTGTTACTTATGTACTTTTGAAGACACTCATAGTGTTTTTGTTTTATATCTACAATCTGTGGGACTGTAGCATCAAGTGATGACTACTGTTTCATATATTTTAAAAGATTTCCTTTTTGAGTTTGTGTGTCATGGCTTAGCAGGAGGTTCCCTGAAACCTGTACCAAAAACCAAACTCACTGCCATCGAGTTGTTTCCAACTCATAGTGACCCCTCCTTGGGTTTCTGAGGCAGTATCTCTATGGAAATAGATATCCCAGTCTTCTGAGGAGTGGCTGGTGGGATGTGAACCACTAGCCTTCTGGTTGGCAGTCAGATACCTTAGGCACTATGCCACCAGAGCTCCCGAAACCTATAGAATGTCCAAACTTTTGTGAAAAGTTATTCCTTTTACTTCTGTTTTACCTAACTTAGTACCTACTATTAAAATGCTTTTTTTTATTATTATTCAGTTGAATAGATGGGGTTTTTAAACTGGTGAAAACACACATAACACACGTCGCCTGCACAGTTTCTGTGTGTGTCGTTCAGTGACGCTGATGACATCCTCCAGCTGGTGCATACATAAAGCTGCAGGCTTGTTGTTGCCTCCAAATCTACAGGAGTATGATTGTGTAGAGTAGTTAAGATCCTGTCCTTGGAGACAAAAGAAACTCGTAAGTTTCTCTTCAAATATGAGATAGCCATATGTCTACTGCTAATCAGCATGTATTTTGGAGTGGCAGTAGAAAATACCTCTTCTTTTAGCGGGAATGGTTTGGTCATAGAGTGTGTAAAACTACTTCCCCTGTCAATAATTTGAATTACATGTAATCATCCTTTCTTTATCAAGGGATCCGATGGCCTTTCATTCCTAAACACTTTTTAACACCTTGACTGATAAGTTTCAAAATTGTCTATTATAAGTACAGGCAGTCCCCAGGTTACAAATGAGATCTGTTCCTAAGTGTATCTTTAAGTCATATTTATAGGCAAGTCAGAATAGATACATACGGTTCTTATTTAGCCTTACTTTAAGGCAAGAAAAGGCTTGGAGTCTTTTTAGTGACTTAAAAGCTTCTTGTGCAGTAAGTGAAGGTAATTGTGATGAAGAATTTGTTACATGAATAGAGGTTGGTTCACTCATTTCAAAGTAAGAACAAATTTTCATAACATTAAAAGGCAAGTACAAGTTGTCTGTAAGGCAGACATTCCTAACTGGGGACCATCTGTATTTTTTGTATAATATGTTTTTCGATATAAAATATTCATCTTCCAATTCTAGTTAAAAGAAAGTGTATGGTTCTCTGTGTCTTTCAGATATCTCTTCTAGCTGTATGCTCCAGGAATTATCACCAAATGTGAACATTATTAAAGAAGAATTATTCCAAACAGTGATGTTGGAAGAACATGCAAACCATGGCATCAAGGATTTTGACTATGGAGAAGCCGTAGACTATGTGCATGAGTTGGAGAGCCAGTGGGGATATAAAGAAAGAAATTATGAAGGAGTGACTACATCCCATAACAACACTGTCATTGGTAGAGAAGATCAACAGCATAAATCCTGCAATAATTTTCCTCTAAAACGGAATGTTTCTGTAAGAAAAAATACATACCAGTATTACAAACATGAGACTCCATTTATGAGGAATTTATTAAAACTGAAAAATACCATAGGCCACGGAGAAAACAAGTATCTTAAGTATTTTGAAAATAAGATTGGATTAAGCTTTCAGTCAGATCTGATTGAACCACAGAGATTTCAAACTGAAGAGAAAATTCATGGATGCACTCCTGTTGAGAAGTTTGTTGACAGTGGTTGCTCAGTTTCATCAGTTCAAAGACTTCCTCCTAGTGTCAAATTCAACATTGGTAATAAATGTGGAGAGGTTTTTAAGGACCCCTCATTGCTTGCACAACAGCAGAAAACACACATTAGAGACAAACTTTACAAATGCCATGAACAGGGGAAATCTTCCAACCACAGGTCAAATCTCACTAAGCGTCAGAAAGTTCATTCTGGGCCAAGGCCCCACAATGAATGTACTGAGTGTGGCAAAGCCTTCAATTCCTTCTCAAACTTAATTAAACATAAGAAAATCCATACTGGTGAGAAACCATACACATGTAATGTCTGTGACAAGTCTTTCAGGCTCCGGTCTGACCTGAGGATTCACCAAAGAATTCATACTGGAGAAAAACCTTACAAATGTAACGAGTGTGATAAGGCTTTTATCAGACGTTCACAACTTCTGGGCCATGAGAGGATTCATACTGGTGAGAAACCTTACCAGTGTCATGAGTGTGGCAAGGCCTTTACTCTGCATTATTCCCTCACTCGGCATCAGAGACTCCATAATGAATTGAGCCTTTACAAATGTAAACAGTGTGGTCGGGCTTTTGTCTCTCTTTCCTACCTTTGGTATCATGAGAAAATTCACACCGGTGAGAAACCATACAAATGCATTGAATGTGGCAAGGCCTTTAGGCAACAGTATGACCTCAGGATACACCAAAGAATTCATACTGGTGAGAAACCATTCAAATGTATTGTATGTAACAAGGCCTTTAGGCAACGGTATGACCTCAGGATTCACCAAAGAATTCATACTGGAGAGAAACCTTACAAATGTAATGAGTGTGGCAAGGCTTTTACCTATTTTTCGCACCTTACTAGACATCAGAAAATATTTACTGAAAAGGAGCATTGTAAAGCTAGTATATCTGTCAGTGCTTTTATCCACAGCTCAAACCTTGGGGGTCATGAGATAACTCTTAGCAAAGAGAAAAGTCACACATGCAATGAGTATGGCAAAGACTTTAGTTCCTTCTCAAACTTCATTAAACATGAGCGAATCCATACTGGAAAGAAACCATATACATGTAATGTATGTGGCAAGGCTTTTAGGTGTCTGTCTGAAATCAGGACTCACCAAAGAATTCATACTGGAGAAAAACCTTACAAATGTAATGAGTGTGGCAAGGCTTTTATCCGACGTTCTCACCTTTGGAGCCATGAGAGAATTCATACTGGAGAGAAGCCTTACAAATGTAATGAGTGTGGCAAAGCCTTTGGCCATCTTTCAAACCTTACCAGACATCAGAAAATACACACTGAAAAGGCAGATTGTAAATCTAATATATCTATCGAGGGTTTTACCCAAAGCTCAGACATTGGGTATCATCAGATAATACATGGTAAAAAGAACTCTCAGAAATGTAATGAATGTGGTAAAGACTTTAGTTCTGTCTCAAACTTGATTAAACATAAGAGAACGCATACCGGAGAGAAACCATATACGTGTAATGTGTGCGGCAAGGTCTTTACTGGAAATTCCCACCTCAAGACTCACCAAAGAATTCATACCGGAGAAAAACCTTACAAATGTAATGAATGCGGAAAGGCTTTTATCACACATTCACATCTTTTGAGTCATGAGAGAATCCATACTGGAGAGAAGCCTTACAAATGTAATGAGTGTGCCAAAGCCTTTGGCCATCTTTCAAGCCTTACTAGACATCAGAAAATACACACTGAGAAGAAATACTGTAAATCTGCTATATCTGTCAGTGCTTTCATCCAAAGCTGAAACACTGAGGACCATCAGATAATTCATAGCAAAGAGAAACCTTGCAAAATATAGTGTGTGGCTAATGCTTTACCATGCGTGCAAGCCTTTGTGGTAATAAGAGAAACCATACTGGAGAGAGAGAAACAAGTGCAATGAATGTTGCAAACCTTGACCCATTTTGCAAATTTCACTAAACTTCTGAAAATGGACACTGTTAATCTAATATATGTGTCATTGCTTTTGTACAAAACTCAAGCCTTGAGGAGCAAGAGAAAATTCATACTGGAGAGAAACTTTACAGAAGTTTTGTTTCTTATCAAATGTTCACACCTTTGGATGCATGAGAGAATAAATACTGGAGGGAACCCTTTCAAATGTAAAAAGTATCATAAATCATTTGGCTACTCTCCATAACAGGCTACTCATCAGAGAATTCACAGCAGAAAGAGCAAACCATCTAGCCCTTTTCAAAGATTAATGAACTTCAGGTGTTCAATTCTGCAGTGACATTAAGAATCAACAGTGTTCTGGTTACCTCTGTGTTGCTCAAACAGAATATACTATAAATGGGATGGCTTGGAGAAACAGGAGTTTATTCTCTTATAGTTTGGAGGCTTTAAGTCTGAGTTCAAAGTGCCAGGCTCTAGGGGCTGGGTGAAAGCCTCTTGAACTTGGGCTTCAGGTCTGGCTCCTGCTCCCAGCTCACTGAAGCTAGAGGCTTTTCTTCACTCAGACAGCTACTGGCTGCTGAGACTGACAGGCCCAAGGTTGACAAAAAGGCACAGTCCTGATGTTACCAAACCACACAGCAGGCTATTAATTCAAGTCCACTGAAAGTCCCAGGGTCGGCAGAGCATGGCAGGCTGCTGAATAACGACACGGCTACATGCAGGGTTCAAATGTACCATAAGCTGGAGACCATTCCCCAAGGCTTCTTACATACAGGAAGCAGACCACATCCCTAAAGCAGTTACTCAGCTGCTCATATGGAGTTGATTACCAGTCTCATGAGGAATACTACATCCATCTGCCCAGCCAAGTTGACACACAGACTTAACTACCACAAACACTTATTTAAAATGTATGACCCAAACCAAACCACTGTCATCTGGTCAATTCCAATTCATACCAAGCCCCATTGGGTTTCTGAGGTGGTAAATCTTTACAGAAGTAGATTGTCCCTGTCTTCCTTCTGAGGAGTGGTTGGTGGGTTTGAACCACCAACCTTCTGTTTAGTAGTCACGTGCCTTAGGCACTGCACCACCTCTCTCTCCACTGCTGTCAAATTGGATTCAACTCATAGCGACCCCTCCTTGGGTTTCCAAGGCAGTATCTCTACAGAAGTAGATTGCCCAGTCTTTCTTCTGAGGAGTGGCTGGTGGGTTTGAACTGCCAGCCCTCTGGTTAGCAGTCAAGTGCCTTAGGCACTATGCCACCAGAGCTACTACTGCACCACCAGTGCTCCCTAAAATGTAAAGATGTCAGAATCCCAAGGACATCTGTAGAAAGGTCCGAATATTTTCAGTTTAGACAATATGTGTATTCAGTTATTTCAGAGTTCTTGAAAGGCCTTTATTACTTTTGATGGCTTTCAAGCCGACTTTTGGAACCATTATCATAGGTCTTTCATATGTCAGTATGATCGTCTCTGGGAAAGGATTGGCAGGGGCATTGAGTTTAAGATAACGATGTAAATCTGAATGAAATAAATGGAAGGAACTGGAAGATAGACATAAAGCTGCTCTAAATCATCACAATAAATGTGTTCAGGTTCCTTTTCTGTACATTTCTTGGTACTAAAGAGGGTCACTGTCAGTTACAGTAAAGAATTGCTCTCCCGAATGACCAAGAAACAGAGCTGCCTAAGAATTGAGGGACAGCGATTTTCATGGGAACAGAATGATAGTTTACTGTCATTGGATCCTACTAACGTGGTAGACGTAATGGAGAAATGGTGATCTCCCTCTCCTTTAAAGGAATCATGTGTTCCCTTCTGCTTGGAGCCCTCAGTGGAATAATTTGAAAAATGACTGTTCCTGAATTTCTCTTAAGAAGGAGCATACACCATGTAGATAAGTAACTTCATATCTTTATTCCCCCAAAACATTTTCCATTAACTTCACTTGTGACCACTCCAGGACAGAGTTCTGTCTGTGTAATGAGTGAGAGTGCTTACTGTGGAATGAGAGCAGGGCGGGCTTCACAAGCTGGGGCGAGTGGTTGGAGATGGCGGGGAGACTGCCTTTGGTTTTTATGGTGGTTACGAGGTGGGACTGGGGTGAGAGTGCCTGTGTGTGGTTTGAACTTCCCACTAATGCCAAACGAGTAGGAGCACTCCAGCTTTTTGATTGGCTTGCCCCAATGTGAGGAAGGAGAGGAAGGAGGTGAGCTTCAAAAGCTGTCAGTCAAGCACTGCAAGGTGGGGCCGATTCTCTAGCACGGGAGTGAGTGCATCCCGTTGGAGCTTCAGTTCCCTTCATGCTAATAGAGTAAGAGTCCGTGGGGGGTACAGACATTTAAGTGTGAGTCAATCTGAAGCCAGAGTTCTAGCAGCCTCCAGGAAAATCTTTAACCAGAAACCTTTTAGTGTCAGTAGTGCTAACAGAACTTTTGTAATTCTAAACACTCCTTAGGGCCTTTATCTGCCCTCCAGTCTCAGCAGGTATCAAGGAACTTCCTCCGAACTCAGCACGCATCACAAAAGCCATCCGGATTCAGCATGTATCAGAGATTTGCGCGACTCCTAAAAGTCTCCCCCATATCTGAGCCGCATCCTCCCTAGATAATATTTTCCTAAGTGAACTTTGGAGCCGGGGGGAGTTTCTTTACGTCCCCCAACATCTTAGATCACTGCCCTGAATCCCTTAGCAACAACCAATCACCTGTACCCCCTCGCCCCGGTGCTGCCCCTCCCCATATTGTTCCATAAATTGGAGAAAGAAACGGGGTACGGGGTCTTTTGCTTAAGCCACTGACCTGGTAAGGGCAAAGACCCTGACTTAAGTTAGCTAATAAACTGTCCTATTGCATTTGCATTGGCGTGGGTTGGCGTCTTCTTCTCTTCCGAAATTCTCCTTTACAGCCTGGGCACAACATAAGCACTTCACTGCCATCTGGGAGGTTGACAACTCAGATCGACCCAGAGACACCTTGGAAGAAAGGCCTGGTGATCTACTTTCAAAAGGTCACAGCCATTGAAAAAGCCTATAGGGCACAAGTAGACCTGTGGGTGACACATGGGAGTCGCCATGAAGACTAATATTACTGGTCTGATAGAGAGTGGTGAAACCCCCAGTCATTCTTCCTGGAATTGAGCTCACTCTGTGGCTTAACTTCCAGCCAAACAATAGACCCAGGAGGTAAACCAGATAGATACGCTCATTCGAATAATCAACCATGGGCTATCACAAGGGCAGCATTTGTGCAAGGAGATAGCTCAGAGGGCAGGAGTGCATGGGATACAGAAAAAGTAACCACACGGAAGAGGGCCCTTACGTTGAGGGGATTGGAATCAATGTCAAAATGGAAGATTAAAACCCTATGGGGCTAAACCACAGGTACCCCTGATGTCGTCGTCAGACAATAGCTTGACTACTAAAAGAATGTCTACCTTAAGCATTAAGCTCTTTTAAGAACTGTGTGGGATCAAAGCGACAGTAGCATTTAGAGAGGTTAGATAGGAACCACAGGAGGCAGTCAATTTATGTTAATGGAGAAAATAAGAGTGTACAACCAGAGAATGTCATCGGCGTCACTGAACTGTAGATACAGTTGGATTGGTGGTGTGCTGTGTACATTCTCATAAAAGGGAAGAAAAAAAAAAAAACCCAAGGGCACACAGTTACTCCAACACACATGGGGACAGCATGAGGCGGAGTGGGCTCAACAGGACTGGTTTTTACTGGGTTTTGGTCCTCATCTGTGAACATTTCTTATCGTTGGCAGTCATTGAGTTTTATCAAATGCTTGTTCTGTGTATCCCCAGATGGTTCTGTGTTGCTTCTCCTCTCACCCTTGTCCGGGAGGTTTCTGGTCTGACTGACGCTCCTCCGGCCCCACATCCCAGGGTGAGATGAGCCTTTCGAGAGCGCCTGCTTTGGTTTGCTCGTGTTTCATTTCGGGGGGAAAACTGAAATCATCCATGTCTGTGAGTGAGACGGGCCTGCTCCTTTGCTTTGTCATACTGCCCTTCATGGATCTGCTGACAGCTTTATAGTCAAGTCAAAAATTAGGATGAGGATATTGATGTTTTCATTGTGTGGCAAAATCTCTGAAAAATCAGGACTGCCTCCCCTTTGGATCCTGAGCATCTTGGTTTTCAGTAATTGGGGAGAGGCACCTTAGGTTTCCACTTTTTTGAAACTTTTATTTTGGTGAAAACATACACAGCAAAACACCACCATCTGAACAATTTCTACACGTACAACTAAGTAGCAGTGGCAACGTTGCTCGTGTTGTGGACGCATTCTCGCTATCCTTTTCCAAACCACTCCACCACCATTTACATAAACTCAGCACCTCCAAAGGAGAATGCCCGCTTTCTCCTCCTCCCACCCCCGGAAACCCCCAATAACCTTTGGTTTCTGTACATTTGCTTTTTTCATATAAATGAGATCATACGCCATTTGTCCTTTTTCAACTAATTTAGCTTACCATGATGCTTTCAAGGTTCATCCATGTTGAGGCTTGTTTCCACTTTTTTTTTAATCACCAACTACTCTTATTTGCATTCTTTAATTACATTATTATTTCTGTAACCCTTTTAAGTATTTATTGGGAAATACTTCAGAGACAAGGCTATAAAAGTATATGTTGTGCATCCCCCTGTATGCAGAAAGACTATGTCCAGTCTTGGCCTGGTGTAAGCATTTGAAAGTTGTCTATAGAGTAACATCACTGTTGAACAGAAGCCCTGAGAATAGTTTTCTGCCTTTTTGTGACTGAACATCCCATACGTAAATTAACCATTATTATGAGTCTTTGCTTATAATCTCTATACACATATTCTAAATTTACTA